ATTTCACGTTGCTTCTTCAGTGTAATGTCTGCTTTTGTTGCAGTGCAATTAGATAACGGCATTTTGTTGTCGACTTGCTGTTTGCTTTGGTGCAGCTGAACTACTGCAGACAAAGCAGCAAAGTCAAAAATTAAAGTTTAGCTGCTCCCGACACAGGATCAGCAAATATTTATCGAGATGAAAACCTTAACATCGCACCATTTCTGTTGGCTCTGTCGGGACTTCAACTCCCAGCAAGCACTGCTCTTAAAAACAGCCAAAGCTGCTTTGTCTCTACATTTGTCTCACTGACTTTTTTCCTCCTCCTCTCACTCAAGATAGCGGACAAATGAGTGGGACAGGAGATGAGACCAGGGGAAGAGAGTGCAAAGCTCTTATAAGGAGCAGCAAAAAAGACCATTCACATAGAGATGAGAGCAATTAGCTCCATAGTCTGAATAGAGGGGTTCAAGGGTGGGTGTGTGTGTGGGAGGGGGGATGCAGAAGCCTCTTAATAAAAGCTGGCTATTTAACTCAGCAGCAACTATTCAGCTATTCTCTTGATAGCTTGTGAGGCTTAGTGTTTGTGTGGGTGTGCCGGTCATCTATGCAGAAAACGAGGCACAAAGAAATCATGTTTCTGTGAAAGGAGGATGTTGTTTACAGTGACCACCATGACTTTTATTTATGCAGCACATGACAGAGAAATATCCAAACCATTTAAATGACTGTAAATGCTTGAAAAGTTCTCGCTTTACAGAAGATGATAACATTTCTCTGGACAGACCACAGGCTGCAGAGTGCCTCACTGTGGCCTCTCCTGTCAGGGTGAGTACAGCAGGAAACCACAGCTGGCTCGAGAGGACGTGCACAGCGTGTCCATGTGATGTAGTCTTTACTCTGCCCGTTGCTTTGGCTTGCACATGACTCAAATTGTCAGGTGGAGGTGAAGAAGGAGCTTAATCAAGCACAACTCAACTTAATAGACATTTATTGCAGCCTAATTGAATCAGCATTGATATTAATTTTGCTCACAGTGTTACTGTTGCAGGATACCATTGTTCAATATCTTGACCACTGTGCTTCCCACCAGCTGTGTTCTTGAAGCCTGGGATCAGTGTGGAAGTCACAAAAAGCCAAATTTCTTTAGCGTAATAGGCGAGACATCGCCATTTTTGCATTCATTCGGTTTTATATAAGCATACTAAGAGTTATCATTTGTTACAGATTGGTGGAAATTGTAACATTTCTAGTGTTACCTTGCTTGCGAGAGGAACATAGTTAACTGTAGTTAACAGATAATTAAAATAGAAAGAGCCGTTACAGGCAAGTGGCATGACTAAAGCAGCGCTTCCTGCTAAGCACTAATCTGTAAAAGTGTTGATGTAAATGAAGGGGGTGCTAATATCCCTCAGTCTCTGCAGCTGCTGATGGTGAATGTACAAAGATAAGGCGGACGGAGGAAAGATTATGAGTGTGAGATGATCCTCTTCACTAAGTGCATCATGTCCTGAGAAGCTGAGGAAGTTTTAAGCATTAACAGCTCTTCTCTTTCCACTAAAGGCCCTGTCTTTTATACGTGTCCTTTCAGTTCTTTCTTCTCTCTGCACACGCCACTTTACCCGCTTCTCTTGGAGTGTCTTTGTATTTCAGACCGCTCTTTTCAAGTTCAGGTTTCATTACATTGAACTTTTAAAAAGAGAGAGAGCTGCAGCTACTTAGTTTTGACTTGGAAATAAAAAAATTGTTTCATATCTATAACTAGAGATAGATATAGGTAGGTATGTGTGTGTGTGTGTGTGTCTTTTATTTTTGGCATCGTAAAGAAAAGCTTTCAGTAGAGAGTCTCTGTTAATACCTGTTATAGAGTTGAAAGTTTCATTTTTCAGCAGCTTGTAACTTTCCACAATCAAGATAAAACTTCTTCTTTTTTAAATTAAATCATCAGCTTCAAATTTTATTTACTTCTACACTGCATATAGTGCATTTAATGAATGCGTTTGGTAAAGTTCAACCTCTGACCTTGCCTCTCTTTTCTGTGGGTTTGTATTTCCATATCTGTCAGCTGAGTGACACCAAACCCAGCACTGGCTGTGTTTGTTCTGTTTTCTGGCACGTCTGAATTATTCACCATAGAGGTGTGTTATCTTTCAGTGAAGCGCTGGTGGACAAGCCGATAGCTTGAAGCGAATAATGGGATATGAAGGACAGCCTAGCGTTTCCCGAGAGCTACAGATGGTTAACCACAGCTGTCTATCTAAAAATGTTTGCGTATCAGCAGTGAGCTTTTTT